GTAGTGGGTCTGAAGAAGACGATCTAGCTCCACAACCAGTTACCGAACTTAGCGATGAGGACCATGCCTATATCCATACTTCAGTAGATGGGGCTACGCCACATAGCTACCGGGGGGTTCTTATAATGTGGAAGTTGGTTCTATTTGCTGAGACAGAGGATGCCTTTAGGAAAGCATGGGCAAACCTTTGCAAAGAGTTTAAGGACCAACGGCCTATTCTGAACTACCTGCATGGAATATATCTACCACTAAGGGAGCAGTGGGCACGTTATTCTATTCGCCAGTACCGAAACTTCGGCATCCGTGTAACCTCAGGGACGGAATCAAGCAACAACAACATCAAGGGCTATCTTCTTAATGGACTTAGCCACCTATATCACTTAGTTAATGTGATGCAGGATATGCTTAAGGATCAAGAGGTTCGCTTCAAGCAAGCTTGTGCACAGGATGAGATCCTCACAAGCCGTGAGTTTATAGGGAACAGATCTGAGTACCTTGGGGAGCTTCGAACAATACTCTCATCGCAGTGTCTTGGTTTGATTACGAAGCAATACCGTCTGGCAAAGAAGGCTCTACCAACAGGTAGAAATCCATTTCCAGCGCCTCTTAGAGACTGCACAGAGGACTGTACTGTCTCTATAGAGTATGGTATCCCATGCTGCCATAAGATCTACTCTAAACTTGTAGATGGGGTACAGTTTATGAAGGATGAGGTTCACCCACGATGGCGGCTGCGGGAGTCTTCTTCCCAGGATCCATATCGACGGATCCTTGATCCGAAGATTGCAGGAAACCTCCGTGGCAGACCTAAGAACTCAATGCAGCCAGTCCCATCATCCCTATCATTAAGGGATAGCACCCAATCAAGCAACCAGCTAGCTAGACAATCACACAGCCAACTACAAAGTCAACAACCTAGCCAATTAGCAGCAGGGCGCAGGCGTGGCAGACCACCAGGAAGCCGTAATAGGACCACCTTAGCAAGGCTTACACAAGAGACAGCCAGTAGCCAGGCGCCAACCTCTTCCCAGCGGCAGACACGAAGCCAAGTAACTACTCTTAGTACTGGCCGATCAACTGGCCTTCGTTCGAATGGAAGAAGATTACAGGCAAGCATCCGTAGGACGAGGAGTCAATGGGAACTACTTAGTAGTAGTGATGAGAGTCTCAAACGTTGAGGGTAGGGGGGGCATTCTTTATTATTATATAAGAGGAAATAGAAGTAGAAATCAATTGAGATTTATAAAAGCCGTTTCAGTTTAGTTTGATAAAACCCAATTCCTCCTTAGAAGGGAAGAAAAAGACCTACCATTTGAGATTTGCAAAAGCGGTCGTTTAGATGGTTTTGCAAATCTCAAATGGGAGGAATAGCCAAGAAACGTAGGCTAGTAGGGCGGGCCGGCTTTATGTCTATGAAACGGAGGCAGGCCTCTTATGGCTGTGAAAAGGTGGGGCGTTAGCAACGCTGGCCTCACCGCCTTCGCCGACTTGTACCTGTGGGTCACCAAAATTTCTAGCCAATCACAACCTTAGAATGTGATGCGTCCCTAAGGATGATGCGTCCCTATCAATTCGTGATGCGTCCCTATCAATTCCCATAATTATTTACTAAAATTATTTTTAAGCGTCTTTTATATTTAAAATTAGTAGTTTATATAGTAATATCTTATACTTATAAAACTTAAAATAATTAAAGTATAAGTATACTAAATTAAATATATAGTAGAATATATTATATAAATAAACATACGTTTTTAAATAAATAAATAATTTCTTAAATAAGGAGATAGTTAGTCTTAATAAAATATATAAGATTATAAATAATAATATAGTAATAGTCTATATATATATATATTTTAAATATATAGTTAAAAAAAATAAAAGTAAAGCTATTTTATATATAGATTATTTATATAATATTATATACTATATAAATTAAAAAAAATAAAGCCTTTAAAAACTCTTAAAGAATTATAAAAAGTAATTAATTACTTACTTAATATAATATAAGTTTACTTCTAGAAAAAGACTATTAATATAATAGTAGTCTTAATTATAAGTACTTTAATATACTAATTAAATATAAATTTTAAACTAGGTTTCTAAATAATTTAATCTTATTAAGTTATAATAGTTATTTAAAGGTATAAAGAAAATCTCTAAAGTTAATTATAAACTAAATCTACTAGATATATAAATACTACTTAAGTTTTTATATTTACTTTTTAAATTAGTTTTAAAAAGATTAAATTAAAAATATAATTAAATAAACTTTAATAATACTAAGTATAAAAACAAAAAGTCCTTAATTATATATATAGTAATTTTATATAGTCTATTATATTAAATAAAAAAGATATAATTATAATAAGAACTTATAAAAACTAAATAAAGATTTAATTTATTATTAAGAAAAGTTAGTAAAATACTTTAAATAGATTATATTAATTTATATAATCTATAGAATTATTATTTCAAAAGTTTTAATTATAAAGGAATATTAATTATTTAAAATACTATTTTTAAAAAATATTACAATACTAGCTATTATTAACAATATTAAAAAAAAAAAATTAAATATTAAAATATATACTAGACTAATTTATAATCCTTAATATATTAATAATAAAAAGATTATTTATAATAACTATCCTAAAAGGATTTAGTTCCTTATCTTCTAAATTACTCTCTTTTAAAAAAATATTTACTTTTATTTCTAAATATATTCTATCTTTATAAAAGCTTTATTTATATTAGCTTATGATTTTTATAATACTTCTAATCTTTTTAGAAATAATACTTTAAATACTTATACTTTATAATCTAAGTAACTTAATTTAATAAATAGTTATTTAATTATAAGTTTATAATAAACTAGATATAAAGAGAATTAATAAAACTTATAATTATAAATTATACTTTTCTTAGTATTATAATTATATTCTTTTCTATATATAACTTATTATAAGTAAATAAACTTAATAAAAAGTAATATTAAAAGTTATTTAACTTATAATAAGAATAAGGTATTTTATAATATAACCTTTATAAAAGGTTTTAAATATATAATAAAATAATATAAATAAATAATATTATAAAAAAGAAATATGTCTTAATATTCTATAATAAAGAAAATAAGAAATATAAACTAATAAACCTAACTAAATAAAATAACTTATTTATATTAAGTCTAGGGATTAGACTTTTTAGAGAGACTTAATATTATAACTTATTTATTTTACTTAATAAAGGTTAATAAACTTATTTAAGCTAGTAGTTAAAAGATATTTATATAGAATTTAAAATAAAATATAAGAGAACTTTAAAAAAGAAGAATTATTATATAAGTTATATAGAGATAAGATAATATAAGAGTACTTAGTTAAGATAATAAGTACTTATAAAGATCTATTATATAATTATTAAGATTTTTATATAGATTAAGACTTAAGTACTTCCTTAAAGCCTCTTAAATAGTTCTTTAGTAATTAATTTATAATTTATTTTAAATAACTTCTAGCTTAGCTTATAGTTTGCCTTCCGTTAGGAAGGTTAACTTCTCCATCCGCGAAGGCGTAAAAAACTATCTTGTGCCTTGATCCCCCCTGGTCTCCTGTTCTGTGATTGGCTAGAGCAAAAATCGATGCTGATTGGTCGTAGCGACCCTGCCACCAATCAGCGCTCGTTATTCTTCGTTCGACCAATCAGCTTCGTTTAACCCCTGTTCCGGCCAATCACCTCTCATGTTCGCCGTCCTCGGGTCTTCCCGTCGTTTACCCAATGTCTTGCCGGTCTTCTTCCATTTATTTCCCGCCAACCACTCTCATTTTCCCGTCTTTTCAACCCCTGGCCTAGCCCGGCCCAACCTCGCCCATCGAACTTTCCATCCTAATACCACCCTATCGTTACCTTCCGTGATTTCCTATCTATCTGATTAATATCTATTGCTTGTCCTTCCTATTGCTGGTTTCATAATATCGTATTTCTCCTCTATGTCTATGCCCCATAACCTCCCTGTGCTTTGTGATAGCAAGTCCCCTCTGGTTGTTCATCTTCATATCTACGTCACTAATGCTTTCTCTAGCTGGCGGTGACCTGCTGGATCGACTTGGTGTGAGCACCTCTATGCGCACCAGCCGAACAATAGAAGTTTTATCTTGCTCTCCAATAGCCCGGGAGCTTGCTCCCCGGAAACAGGGCAAGACGCTGTCGTTCGATCATGGTTATCGCATCATTGCTGCCCTGGTTCAGGCTACCGGCGTTGAGCGCCGACCTCCATGCGACCGATGTGCCCGTTCAAATGGTCCGTGGAAGCAATGTATTGTAATGCAGTCCGCTGAGGGTTTACGGGCTACGAATGGTGGGTGTGCTAACTGTTGGTGGAATAATACTGGTTCCCGTTGTAGTCACCGTATGTAAGGTTTTTTGTCCTCTTTCGTCCTGCTCTTTTATTAACTATTTTAGATGCTTCTTTCGCTAGACGTTCGGGTGTATCCTTGGGCTTGATCGGACAGCCACCAGGTACTCTCTCTGACTCTTTCTCTGCCTTGGATCGATGGGAGATAGAACTGGAGACTCTCGGTAACCCTGGTATTACCTCGCGTGCATCCACACTGGCCAGAATGGATGCTTCTGAGCTGGTTACTCATTACAAAGACCTTACATCCCGGTTAGAAGCAATCCACGCCTCGATAGCTCACTTGACGAACGAGTGCCAGCTATTAGGCCAGCAGGTTTCGGAGGTTTCCTTAGTCTTGTCTTTCCAGCGGACATTCGAGGTACGGAGGATTCCTCCGGGTCTAGCACATATTAACTTTACGCCTATTGTATGCCCTCCTTCTGGTCATAGCAATGAGTCTAACAGCACTACACAAGACAGCAATACGCGATAATAACCCAGTGTTAACCCGATTCATGACATGCCTAAACCGCCAAGGCAAGACCACTAATCTGTCCTTTCATCTTAATGGTTTTACCTCCCTATTTACTATTCCGCCCTCCTATGCTTCATCTCTCTCCCTAGCCTCGAACGCCCGGACTGTTGCTTCCGCGAGGATCCTTAGTCTTTTGGTTCCTTCGACTAGCTCCTCCGGCATGCGCGCCTCTAGGAACTGCTTTACGTTTAACGGCTGTATGAGAGCGATATCTTCAAAGCGCCGCACGCGGGATAGCTGAACATACATGCTTACTGCATCGCATCTTTCAAGCTCCCCCGTATTCTTACCTACTATTCTCCCATAAAGCCCTAACAGTGTCTTTTCGAGTGTCCGCCCCTGTGCCTTAAAGTCGGTTAATGCGAAGCCTGGTGTGCATGGGAGCCCTGTCCGGACTAGCGCTAGTTTTACATTGGCTTTCTGCAGATCTGGCCGGAGTATTTTGATATGCTTTTCTGGTACTCGAATATTGGCTGCTAGCAACATTACAGTATTAGGTGGCAGATAGGGGAAAGCTAACCCGTTCGTTTCTTCGGACTAGAGAATAATACCACTAGGCGGTCCGAGAAATATAGACAGCCTGTCGTTTATAATGATCTCTTCTACTCCGGGCGGATGAAGAATTCCTACGGCTGTAAACTCTGCGCCGTTGACAACCTTGAGACCTATATACTTGTTCTCGTTGATTACCACCGGCATACCCTCGACATAAGGGAACATACCAGCTGCGCTCAGCTTGCCCTCGTCGCCTAATAGCATGGCTGCTTTTCTCTCCTCTGCTATAGGTATCCGCGATTCCCACTTATGCTTCGAAAGATATATCGATATCTTACGACCAGTATCGACGCTATATGCTAAGGCTGCATGCAACGTCAGATCCCACCGGTGTCGGTTTAGAGGTATAACAGCTCGCCTGCCGCTGGTGAAATCGAATTTCGATTCGCTATTATATTGCGCTTCGAGCTTCGCGGCGTCCTCTCTTATCTGCTTGCCCTCTCGCAGGCGTTCAAGAAAACCAAGCAGGTAGGCGTCCCCTTCAGCCCGTTTTTGCTCGTCGAGTACTACAACATTAGTAAACCCCTGCCAGAGTTCTTTAGCTTTAGCCTCTTTCCAGCGTCTCTCTATAGCTTTGCTTCCCAGTCCTATATTTCCTAGCACTATACTAATTCGTTCGGTAGTACTAAGGAGGCTCTTCTGCAAAACTAGCGGGAACTGTAAGAAGTCTCCAGTGAACACGACAACAGAAATGCCACCAAAAGGCTTCTCTAGGAAGCCCCTTAACATTCTAAGCTTTTAATCGATATCATATAATGTTTAGAGTCCGAGCATGCTGGCCTCGTCGATTATCAAAGCATCCCGCCTGCGCCATCGTTCTTTAGCTTTCTCTAGATTGTTCGATAACATTAGTTCTACGGTAGCGCCATCGGCGTCCCGAAATGCCAGCCCTACAGCAGAATGAATTATATTACCGCCGATACCTACTGCGGCCGTTCCCGACGTTACCATAATAACAAGCCGGCTAGACGCCCCTTTGGCTGCGAAAACCTCTTTTACGGTATCGATAAGCCACGACTTTCCAGTGCCGCCTCCCCCGCCAACGTATTGCAGGTATTGCCGATCAGCGCCGTTTGTTCGTTCGTCGAGCGCCTCGCAGATAAGACTAAGCGCTATTCCCTGCATGCGATTTAATGTTCTCTCCGCACCGATAATCTTCCCTGCCTAGGTAAACGTATTAGCGGCCGTAATTGCGATCCAGTTTGAAGCAGGTTTCAGTCTAACTATCGCTAGCTGGGCTAGGAAATCTATATTAGCATCGTTGTCGCCAAAGCCTGTTTCGGCACCGGTATGTAGGGGTCTTTCGGCGGATTCATCCCCTTCGATGGCTAGCATTCGCTCTTTATGGAGTCTTTCCTACGCCGCTTTGGTGATTTTTAAATGTTGCTTTGGTAGTGTTGTTTGCATATATAGTTAACTGTTGGTGCTTTGTATTCTAGAGTCGTCATCTATGCTAGAAAACCCGGCGTTATCCAGCGTTTATAGCAACTCTTTTATGCCTAGAGAACCATTCGTAACTCCTGGTCCGTCCTGTAGGCTGAAGACTACATCGTGAAAGGTATGCCGCAGGTCTATCCTATCTAGGTGCCATTCTTCTGAAAGGTCTAAGCCCTCCTCAGGCACATCAAATTCGTATCCTTCATCGCCCTCGCTCCGGCTAGCCCAAAGCTTAGCGTCTTTCTTTACGTCTTCTACGCTCTTGTAAAGAAGTTAGATGTTATTTACTACAGCCTTAACCCGACCTAGCATGTCGGTATATAATCTCTCCCAGATGTCACCTAGATCGGGACTAGTAGATTGCATAAAGGTTTCCCACGGCACAAATAAGCCGAGTAACAGGACTGCTAACCTATTGTCTATTAGCGACTGTATAGCCTGAGGTATATATATATATATACCTACCTCTTGTAATACCCTTCTTCTATGCCTTATACGTCATGATTTAGATGTCCGGTAACAACTGGAATTGCTTGATGTGTCCTTGGGAGCAATTCTTGTATCCACGATTCCCGGTCTGTCATTAAAGAATCGAACGGTATAAACCGTGACTGGTTTATCCTGGTCCTTCGTCCGACCCTCCGTACGCGAACCATACATAGGTATTCGTAAAAGCAAAGCTGTTCTAACAGGCGACCGCGATGCGCATATGCCTCAAGGTATGGCAAAGTCATGCCACCGGCGCCGAATCCAATCGTTTCAGGGGTTACCCGCTGCTGCACTTCCGGCCCTGCTGCTCTGCGTAGGGCCTCCCAGCGCCGGAAAATAGCCCAGTAAAGCGAACTGAGATAGACGTTAATCCAACTCGCTTCGCTGCAATAGCTATTCTTGTACCCGAGGAGATTACTACAAACCTCTACAGCCGAAAGTTCTCGACTTGTAAAGATCTGATTTGCTGTACGAGCAAGAAACTGCCGTGTCTTATTATTCCGTTGTACTGTCTTTGCCGCGCTGTCTCCACAATTCGGTCCGTAGTCGTCTCCCTGATCAGCCATCCCATCAAATACAGCCTTGACTAGCGCTGCTCTCTTCCAAAGCGGCGTATCTAATTTTGTTAAGTAATTCGTAGCATAGTATACCATGGAGAGTCCAGCCGAGTTAGTCGGGAGGAATATAGTATCCGTATTATGACGCATAGCTACTGCTAAACCTGGGCTATATCTGTTGATTCTTTCGTAATCTCTTCGGATATGCAGAAGGCCATCGGTAGTAAACTCGGTTCGCTAGCGCAGTGTCCATGGTGCTTTAAACCGACAGGGATACCGAGACCCAGCCTTCCCTTTGTCTTTAAAACTATACTTTGTACATGTCGCACCGCAGCTATGCATTTAGCACCTGTAGGCGACCCAATTCGCTTCGGCATCAAGGGCTTCATCGAGTCTGCTGATATCCTCCGTAAGATGTTTGATATTAGTAAAGACGCTTTCCCACCGGCGGTATCGTCGTGCCTTGCCTTCGTCGCAGCACTATATCATTTACTTAGCACGATAAACTTAGAAAATAGAGAAACATGCTTACCTCACTAAATACTAAATCAATATATTAGCACACTTGTACTGCGTAGTCCGCGTTATCCGGCTTGGCAAGATCATGAAAAAGATCAGGTAGCCCGAGATTAGCGTCTAACCATAAGAGCCCGTGTAAGTAAAGAGCCCCACGCTCGTTTGTCTCGACGCAGCCGAAATAGCAAGAGACTTTGCTAAACATTGATTCCTCGCTAACAGAAACACAATGTTGAAAGAAAAGCTCCAACTCTCGATGAAAAAATTTTGCTAAACTAACTGCGTCTCGGATAACATGCTGTACGCGTCCAACCTGCTTCCGGAACTTTTCCATCAGCTCCTCTGCCGCCTTGCCATATGCTACCCGAAAGGCGGCTAGTTTCATATTTATCTCGTTTGTTAGATCGTTTGGGTTGATTGTATACCATATACACGGCATTCCATACTTAAGGCATAGTGACTTTATCTTCCTTCGAGAATAGAGACGCTCCTCATTTAACATATGCTGCCTATGTCCAAACGCGCTTAACTCCCGGATTAAGTATGCTATATTGCTGTTAGTAGTCGTCCGGGTCTCGCGGTACTCTTCTTCTGCTCTTTCAATCTCCTCGGGAGTAAGTCTTGTAACGATTTGCTCGACTTTAGCAAATAAAGACCTCTTCATTCGCAAGTAACTAATCCGTCGGTTCTCTAATCGAAGAAGCATATTAAATACTAAAAAAGGGAAGCTTGGGTGTATAGCAAAGTAAGCACCTATTATACTATTACTTTAGTTACTTATTTCTATTTATAAAGCAGAAGTTTTACTAACCATGCCTCTGTAAGCAGAATCGTGCCCAGGTTCGAAGGTAAAATCCGTTCGGCTTATGACTGCTTTGGATGTCTGGACCTTGCGGTTCATCCTGATCATCTTCGTTTTCTTCTTCACGTAATATCCTAGGGCCGCCTCGACCCCATGGAAATAAACAAGGGAAAGCCTTAGGGAAGAAATCGGGATCGTTCGAATCAGCAAATTCCTCTCCTCTGCGACTGACTAGATAGGGTTCTGTATTCTTATATCGGAGGGTGCTGTCTCCGTTTGCGTCCTTTGGCTTTCGGCCTCTCCCACGCTAGGGCCCTCTCACTATTGCTTCTCGAAGAATCCTGAGTCGTTCTTGTAGGCTATGCTCTCCAGATACCTCAGTAGCCATTAGTCCAGTTGAGGTTAACTCGGACAGCTCTTCATCTATCCGACGAGGGTCCATATCAAATGGGTCGCAATCACCCGCATGGATTCCCCCTAGCCTAGCGTTGCTTTCAGCTTCGAGGTGCGCAGCATTGGTTTCCCTATCTTCTAGACTTGCAATAACATCGTGAGCATTACGCAAAGGTTCATCAGGGCGACCTCGCTCAGCAGGAGGGACATAGTATCCTGTACGGATTTCGTCTTCGGCACGCTTCTCATACGCCACCATTCTCTCCACAAGTCCCTGGGGTACCTCAGTTCCGGGAGACCATTCCCCCCAGGTCCTAAGATGATCCTCACTAATACTAATATCCCGGTATAGTAGGTTGTTCGCCCGAAGCCAAACGAGCGCACGCTTGAGCTTCTGGGGGTTCACTGATAACATAAAGCCAAGATCGGATGGTACTGGTGTCCGAGGACCTACAAAGCATACATGCAACCTGTCTCGCTCTTCCACGAGTGGATAAGGTAGAATATTGGCTGCTACGCCTTGAACGTCGTTAGGGAACACAGTAATATAGCCTCTCTTATGTTTTCGGTAGCGGCCACTTGTTGACTTCTCGACGTCGATAGTAAGCTTCGTAATCCAACCACAGGGTGTATAAATTCCAATAAGGCGCTCCTCAAGTAGTGAAAGATCTTTCAAAACATGAGGATACCGATGGATGCAGCCTAAAGACAGATTATTCACCTGGCAGGCGTATGGCAGTTTTTGATGCTATAAGGAGGTCTTGCACTAGGTGCAAATAGCGAAGTTTGCCTCTAGCTCCTTAGGAAAGCATTCCATACAAAGGAAATGTTCTCTGTCTAACACAGGGATTTGGTCCTCCACCCTTAGGTATAATGGCTCAAGTTCGGCCCATGTATAATTGACTAGTGAGTTGGGAGGCTTTTGCTAGTAACATACTCTACAATATTCGATTTCGAGTGTAAAGTCATTATGCATGCTTTCGTAGAACGTCTTAGTCTTTTCCAGAATCGTTTTTCGGGAAACTAGTCGGCACCACGTGCGATCCATAGAGTCTAGCTTCTTCTGGATATAGCGGCGATCTGCTTCTTATACTATCTATTCGATCTCCTTCTTCCTTGCTTAGTATGCTTCGGGTGTGTCTAGTAGCTCAATATAGCTAGCTTTTTAGCTTAGCTTAGGTAGTGATAGACGAATTGGTAAATGCCTTTGCTAGATAGGATTAGACTGGCGAATAGCAACTAACGGTATTTGAGTTCTTGGCGCTTCAGAAAGAATATGCTGGCTATCTTGAGCTCTCTTATGCTGTAATATGTCTAGGGTAGTAGGCGTGTTTAGACTTGATATAGGCTTAAGGTTCCACGGAAGTAGGGTTGGTCGATTACTTTGCTCCCAAAGGTTGCTACTAGCATAGGCTTGCCTATTTCCTCCACGGCTTTTCCTAGGCGTAAGGGAAATTTTACTAGGCGATGTATTTAACCCCTCGCTATAGGGTGTCTATACTAACACTGATCTAGGTGATAATGGAGATTCGATTCTATTCGGGCTTCGGATATTGTCGAACGAGGATGGTGGTGTCGGCAGCAGATTTCGGTTCCGATTCGAAGGAACCTTTAATCCTTCGTCGAGGGATCTCTAGTAACTCTATGTCAAAAGGGGCCCTGATAGTGATTTTATTAAGTTTGAAGGGACCTTACCATAATATTGACTGAAGGCGGTGGTCCCGGTGCTAGCATGCGACTGTGGTTTGAAGGAGAAGTCTGCTCTTCCCTGCCGGCTATTTGTCTCGGCCTCAATTCAGGCTGAATTGAAATAGGAGTGTCATTGAATGAGGAAACTAGTGTTGTAAGATGCGGCATGATAAAACTTAGAGTCGATTCAAGGATTTCTAAGGTCTTTGGAGATCAAAAAAGCTATTATATTCCTTTGACTATGGGAATATTAAAGCTTAGCAATAGTAATGCGTATTCGCTCCATCCGCTGAAATCACCTTCTGCCCTAGCTGCAAATGTTATTACTGCCTCAATAAGAACATCTTTTCTCATATAGTATTAGCCCAAGGCGAGATGCAAGTAACTTCGTATTGCAAAGACGGATGTCTTGCTGCTGCATTACTATAATAAAGCTGGAATCATTCCTGTTCCATCCGAATAAGAAACAATACTTTGTGATCTACCAATAGAAGGGTAATAAGCCCCCTGTTGTTCCCACTTTGTAGAAAAAAGACGCAGTCTACGTCTTGCCAGCATAAACTAGACAACTTCAGGCGACCACGAGACCTAGTTCTCCTGTATTAATAACTTGATAAGGGAGCAAAGCTAAAAAATCTCCCTTCCGATAGATTCTTCCTCCGCCCCCTCATATACAAGGTTTATTCCTTTATAAAAGTATAACCCGAATGTTTAGATTCGCCTTTCTCTTACTCTTCCTTACGTCTCGAAAGCTCCTTCTACGTTTTATACTAGTTCCTTGCAGATTGTTTACCATTTCGCCTTGCCTCCTCCTGCCGCTATAGGTACTAGAAAGCCAGACTTAGCTACCTATTAGCCGAAGCCCGAGCTGAACCTGCCTTCGCCATGGAGCCTCCCCCTCACGATGCTTGCTACAGGTAAAATGGTTGCCGTTAAATCTCTAAGCAGGGACTCCCAGATATTTCGGTACCAGAACTGGTCTAGTCAAATCCAGATACCGATTCATACGCCAGAGTGGTTGACTAATGTCTTCCCTAATATACTTAACAACTTACACGCCGGGGCCTTATCGCTAGATCTCTCTCGCTTCTACTTAGGAGGTTCGTTAACTACCGAGGATTAGGAAGACTAATAGTTTACTATTATCTACGATCCCCACTTCAGTTACGTCCCCTGTAGTCTATCTAGCGAAGACGAGGTAGAATATAAACGTCTGGCATAGATCCAGGACGATGCCCTCACGCCGTAAGTTTCTTCATCCGTAGCATTAGAATACTTATCCTAAAGCTCCCTCTTAGTATTTCTGACCGTACCTGCGCCGACTTATCTCCTCGTTTCCCGATAACTCCTCCGTTCGTAACTTTCAACGGGTTTGTCGATACCCAAAAGTTCCCCCTTGCCGATGATCCCTCCGTTGGTCTCGATGAAATAACCAGGAACTCGTTAGCCGTCTTCAAGGTATGGTCTAGATTTACTTCTACAGAGGCTGCTTATACCCCCAAAACTGGATAGTATGCTAACTACGTTTACGCGATGCTTCCCAAATGCAAAGCATATATGAAGAAGAAGTGCGAGGATTACCGCGTCGAGACAACACCATTTCGCAAGCATAGAAAAAAAGCCTATATTACTAGCTATTTCCATAGTTTCTACAACAAGAATACCGTCTTTACCTCTGATTATCCTTATAACCCCCTTGAGTTTGTCCCACTCATCGAGATTATCAAAGTTGACTAGGCTGCTGGGGAGCCTAGGCAGACCGCAGCCTCGCGCGATCCGTTTTCTACGCCGTCAAAAGGAGATATGACTGAACGTACGAAGGGAAAATTCAAGTTCGATCCTCTCGCACAGATGTCTGCCGACGCGAAAGTGCCTGGGCCTCTGTTTAATAATGGTAAGCTTGACGATTCTACTTTATTATTCTGAAAGCTAATATGCTTAGGTTCACAAGCCTCGGACGCCATTGTCGATAATGATGATCCGTTTTCTATTAACGGCCTCCGCGACGTCGCGCCTATTAATATAAAGCGATCCGGAGAGGTAGAGACTATTGAAGACAGCAGTGATAGGGCGAGTCTAACGAAGCAGCCTAAACGGGGCAGTTTGCGTAGGAGGAAATAGTCTGCGTTGGAAAACATAAGGCATATCAAAATTCAATACTAAGAAGATCGCTATCTATGCTTAGATCCCTTTAAGTCTTTCTTCTTCTTCAACCTAAAGTATTTCCTTTTATAGTAAATTCATTTCCTCGCTGGTATGTGCAGAAAGTCGATCAGGGAGATCAAAATCTATATTAAAATCGCAATCGTCAATACCACACCCTCTTATTTCCAACTCATCTAATCTAAATTCGTTCTGAAGAGTTTGTATGAGAAAAGACCAAGCGTCTAGACCTTAGGTAGTAATTTTAACATTTTCGAGAGTAAGTCTTCGAAGTGTATTTTGATGTCGCCGTAAGAGCGTCAGGAGTTCGTCTCTCGTGCAGTCTAGATACTCAAGGCATAACCTTTGAAGAAGAGGAATATAGAGGCTTTCTGAAAGTCCTGGAAATTGTTGCTTCTCTTCGCAATAGTTGAAGAATAAAGTAATATCGGTGAGCGCTGGAAAAAGGCTAGAGAAGCTATAAAAGTCTGATTGCCAATCATATTTTTCTTCCTATACTGGGTCATTCTCTGCAAAGAATTTTCTAATTTCTTGGCTGAAATGATTATCGCTATCCTTAGGATTGATAACAAGACTAAGCTTTGTGATAGTCGTGATTTCGGATTTTACGGCTTTTGCGAGACTGCTTAGGAGCGATAGCATCCGTGGAATAACAGACGTACAACCTTCCATCATATCTCCAAACTCGATATATATCTCCTCTATGGGAAGGCGGCTCTTAATAAGTGCGAAAAACAGTGTTCTGATTACTACTAAGGCATAAACCATGCTATTAGGTAAGAAATCAGAAATAAACCTATTTGGAAGTACGCCAATACGTCGCCCAAGCTTAAAGGCGCCCCATGGTCGGGTATGATCCGATATCCCAATAGCTTTGCAGTTTTTAAGGTTAGTAAGAGCTATCGCTAAATAACTCATATGTTGCCTTTGGGAGAAGAATTCCGTTTGCTCCTGCCATCCATCCTTATAGGTTTGGATTATTTGCTCCCAACTATCGTCGCCCAGTAAGACAACTTCGCCATTCCGAACTCGGAAGAAATCATACTCGTCTTTAAGTCCACAAATCTCTAGTTCTTCGTGGCTCATATAGTCTTTGGGTTAGATGAGATGATCAACGCAAAGCTCGACAACTTCAACCGCTTGACTCAGAATATGGTGGCGTGAAATGTTCACAAGATTCAATAGGCTTTCCTTCTCTAGCATTACGTAGCGAATGCGGAAGAAGCGTGCTTTGAAAGCTAAAGACGTTGCCTCAGCTATAGTTTTGCATGTTTCCCGGAAGTTCTAATAGTCCCGCAAGTGCTTAGGGTCTGGTGATAATAGATGATAAAAGATTTCGGTTATCAGTTCAGCTGGCAAGTTGATAAGAGCTTGTTGAGCCATAACTTGAAGCGCAATATCAAGAAAACCCAGAATTGTCTAAGGTGAGGGGAAAGGATCTGATAGTTAAGCGCCGTGATCACCCGTAATTATGCATGAACATGGAGTCGTCTTGGTAGGATTACTAATCCTGGACCGGTGAAACATTAACCCGATTACTAGCTCGTCTTCCTAACGGGAGGCTTACTTCAACAGGCGGCTTGCCCGCCGTTCCCCAGTATAGTATTACTATATTATTACTTAGTATAAGCCTAATTACCTTACTCTAACCCTTAATCTATTAGTATAACCTACTAGTAAAATAATATATAACTTATTATTAGTCTTATAGCCTTAACTTCTATTAATAGAAACCTTACTCTTACTAGCTAGCTATAATAATATTTTAAAATATATAGTAAGAAGATAAAATCTAAAGCATACAAGCTATTTTTAAATTTTTCTATCCTAGAATTAACTCTTTATAAAAAGGCTATAACTTTATAATAAAGAAAAAAGTATAAAATTAAATATATAACTAGTTAAATACTAATTAAAAGTAACGTACATGATAAGCGAGTGAGACAGACAAGCGAGTGAGACAGTAAACCGCGACCGTCGCACCTTGACGCGACCGGCACCTTTTCCTCTACAATAAATCATGGAATCAGCTAGTATTGAAAGAAGGTTACAAATTGCCCTTCAAGCAATGAGAAATGACCCAAAACTTAGTGCTCGGGCCGCAGGTGCACTCTATACAGTCAGTCACGCAACATTAAGCCGGCGACTAAAGGGAATAGTCTCACGACGCGACAGCATGCCTAATTCACGGAATTTATCAGATTTAGAAGAGAAGACAATAGTTGAGTATATTCTCGACCTAGATGCGCGATCATTTCCTCCCCGGCTGAGTGGTGTGGAAGAAATGGCCAATCGACTTCTCGCAGAGCGCGACGCGCCTCCAGTTGGGAAGCGCTGGGCTTCTAATTTCGTCAAGCGACAACCACAGCTTAGGACGCGTTTCTTTCGCAAGTATGACTATAAGAGAGCTCAATGCGAAGATCCAGAGGTGATTCGTGGCTGGTTTTCGCTTGTGAAGAATACAATTGCGAAGTATGGTATTGCTGATGCTGATATCTACAACTTTGATGAGACCGGCTTTATGATGGGCGTTATTGCTTCTGGAATGGTTGTTACAAGTGCTGAAAGGCGTTCAAATACGAAGATGACACAGCCTGGCAATAGGGAATGGGTTACAGTTATCCAGGCTATTAATTCCCAAGGGGAGAGCATCCCGCCATACATCATCGTTGCAGGCCAGTATCACCTCTCAAGCTGGTATACAGAAACCTCTCTTCCGGGCGATTGGGCTATTGCAACGTCTGAAAATGGATGGACAACAAACGAGAGAGGTATTGACTGGATCAGACACTTCGACATTTATACAAAACCACGTACGTCTGGGAAATATCGCCTCCTCGTTGTTGATGGTCATGAAAGTCACCACTCCGCAGCCTTCGAGCTCTTTTGTCAAGAAAACAACATTATTACACTGTGCATGCCGGCTCACTCGTCTCATCTACTTCAACCCTTAGATGTTGGTTGTTTTCAGCCGTTAAAGAATGCCTACGGTCGGCAAATTGAGAATAAGATGCGGCGAGGCATAACCCATATCTCGAAGGAAGATTTCTTTGCAGCATTTCACGAAGCTTTTAAGCAGTCTTTTACGAGGAAAAATATCCAGGGAGGTTTCCGAGGAGCTGGACTTGTCCCTTTGAATGCAGAAAGTGTTCTCTCAAAGCTGGATGTAAAGTTCCGAACGCCAACGCCTGAGGAGGGGGTCCCTCAGACACCAGACCCTTGGATCTCTAGGACGCCGAGCAACCCAAGCGAAGCAAGATCACAGTCTACTTTTATTAAGAGTCGAATCTCACGCCACCGAAGCAGCTCTCCAGCATCAATTTATAGTGCTGTGAGTAAGCTAGCCAGAGGGACAGAAGGACTAGGGCATCGGGTAGCATTACTAGAGTCAGAGGTTCAAATCCTTCGAGAGGAGAATGCAATATTAAGTCGGCGTCGAAGGGCTAAGAAAACACGTCTACAGAAAGGAGGAAGTCTTACTATATCTACTGGAGAGGATATACAGTCGCAAAGAGAGGCAGACACGCAACTACAAGAGGAAACGCGACGGAGTAGTGGTCGCAAAGTGAGGTCTGAGACGACTCATCGTCGGTGTGGCGTATGCGGGAATACAGGCCACAACGCGAGAACATGTCAATTTATTGAGGAAACATCCGAAGAACAGGAATCCGAGTAGTATTAATCAATCTAAGATTTCTTGTTATAGATTTCGATATTATTGTCGCGAAGGTCTGGTTTACTGTCTCACTCGCTTGTCTGTCTCACTCGCTTATCATGTACGTTATATAATATCTTAAGTCTAATACTACTTTATAATAAGATAATTAATTAACTCTTATTTTGAGTTTTAATCTAGGTTATATATATTTACGTTTTTTTTTTTTAATTTTAAGTTAAAAAATAAAACTTTTTACTTTAATACCTAATAAGTAGTTTTATTAATATAACTAAAACTAATAAATTATTAAAAATAAGTATAAAAACCTATTTAAAAAGCTTTTCTTATCAAAAGTAACTATTAGATCTAAGCTTTTAGTATATAAGGAATATATAACTTTATATGATTTTTTTTCTTATTACCTTATAATATACTACTTAAAGCTTTATTTTTCAAAATATTTTATATAATATTATTAAGACTAAAGTACATAAACTTACTTTATTTTATTTTTATTAGTATCATAATTATATTCATTAAGTTTTGTCTTATTAGGCTTCATAAGAAAGTAGGTATTAGCTTAAACTTTCGGGTTGCTACTATACTCATGACATGCTCAGCGCATGTGCTGCAGCAAAACACAGTCATCTTCACTCGCCAAAGTGGCTCAATCTGTAACCTACGTCCCCCTAGGCACCATAACAGCAGCGCCAAAATCATACTCATGATCAATGGCGTAGAACAGCGGAGCATTAAGGACTCTCACAACTGTCATCATCCTGATACCCGTCGGGGCAGCCTGATCTAAACATTTACGAAGCTTCCATGTCCTCCACTGCGGCGCTGACTCCTCGACACGTTCAGCAATTTGCACACGCTAGCGATTTCTCGCAATTCTTCTAGGGCAGCTAACTTCTAGGTTGACTCTGCAGGTCTGTAGGTCTTTGCATGTGTCGAGAAGGAAAGCTTCATAGGTAGCTAGCTTTTCGGCCTTACCTAATAACTCTCAGGCATTCACATACAAGGTTGATATCCTGGTCTTGCCGCTTCCGCTCTGACTATCATCAATTATCATGTCCTACTACTCCGCTAATAACCTGAATCGCTAGGTCCTCGCTTCGGATGACACCGGGGATGCGACCCGTAATTCTCGGGACAGCCTTTCCGGCTCCGGCCTTTCCAGACGGCCATTCACAGCCGCAAGCCATATCGCCGTCTTCCGCGTTTCGGCTCGTTCCCTTTCCCACCTTCTACCGGGTAGCCCTGGCCTTTGCGCTGTGTTCCCTAGCCGATTACTCAG